CATAGATTCTGCTGGCATCATTTTAACAATATTGCACTATTAAATCAACATTCTGATTAGATTTTGTAATTGTAATTACATCCAGAAAGAAAATGAAAAGTACAATATTGAGCAGGAAAGGGAGCTATAAATCAAACTAAAATCTCCCAGACAGCTAATCTCTCTATATTTATACCTTGTAAATATCTATATGGCCTAAAAAAGAGCTGTACAGTTCAGTGACCTACTGATACTCTTTTCAAGTTTCTCAACTAATAATAGAAAATGCTGTTCCAGAGTGTTCTGACTTTCAATTCCTAAATGATTTGGTGCCTTTTAAAATCTCCTCCTCAAAACTAAACATCAGATATTTAAAAGGGGCTCGCTCATTGCTGGGATTAAATTAAAAATAAAAAAAGTCCTTATTCCCATTAAGCACCTAAGGGTATGTGTCCACTGTGAGCGAGTGTATGATTGTAGCATGGGGGTTTGTCTAACTATGTTCTCTTTAAAGTAGCTAAGCAACAGTAGCAGTGCAAACATAGCAGTACAGGTATTAGCACCATTTAGCAACCTCAGTATGTATCCATGAAGCCTAGAAGGGTTATAGCCCAGATTTTTAACAAGACATCCATCCATCAGGGTTGATCCCCTTCAGTTCTGGAGCACAAGTCACCACCATTTAAGCTAAAGGAGTAGATTCATTAGCTGATAATAATAGTAGGCTGTTCGCCTGTGACAGAGAAGGCCCTGCAGAGGAATGTGAAACACACTGTGAACTCATTTAGCTGAGCTCTATGGCAGAGAAAAGATGATAGACACATTTCCAGAAAAACTGGATTTTTGCAAGCCAGGGGAAGATCTGAACAGAAGCTGAAGCAAACAAGTTTTGTGGACAAATGTGGTAACAAAATCACTTACAGGAATTATGTGGAGAGTGACTAAATCCATAATCGAGTCCAGGCTGCAAATATTTTGGGAAGTCAGAAAAGAACTGCCATTGGATGAAATTTCAAGTTAGAACAGTGACCATAAGTTGTTGCCAGATGGCCACAAACACTTCACATTTATCAACATTAGTTTAAACTAGTTCTGAGATATGCAGGTTTTTATCTCTGACAGGCAACTTGACAACAGAGATTGATGTGTCCAACTGAGAAGAATAAGAATATAAATCTGTGTCTTATTTTGAGGAGAATGCAAAGAGCAGATAGGGATGAAGCAGTGGACATAATCTGTGTAGGTTGCAAAGAGACAATTGACACAGTATTGTAGAGGGCAATAATACATCTTCGGGTTAGCAAATAACATACAGAAGGCACCATACCCTTCAATCTGTCAGTGCTGCACTATGAGAGCCTGAACTCTGAAGCGTAGCACATGTGTTCTTCCCGCACTGTTTTTCTTTTCATCCCTCGTCTTTAGCTCCTTGTTCCCTCTCTTGTTACAAACTCTTCATTTTACATATGCCCTATATTATCATTTCCTTCCTTCTTTATCCCTCCTGACTTCTCTTCCTTCCAGTTTCCTATTATTTCTCTATTTCTTCCTACTTGTAATGTGCTCTAAAGTACTCTAAAAACACAGTGCACACAGAGGGGGTGGATCTATCATCATCCCCACATTTGTCCATAGCCTCAGCTTCCTATTCATTCTGTCTCCTTCAGCCCTCAGTCCATTCTGTCCCCTCCCAGGATATGACTACACAGCAGAGCTAACGTCGAATTGAGGTACACAATGCCAATACATCAATTGTGTAGCTTAAGTTGAAATAGTTTAATTTGGCTTTTGGCACTGTCTACAAAGCAGGAAATTGAAGGAAGAACATTCTTCCTTCTACTTCCCTTACACCTCTTGAAATGAGGGTTACCATGTGTCAGAGTAAAAAGTCCTCCAGCTTGACATTATTTTGAAATAAAGGCTTGTAGTGTAGATATATCAGTTATTCTGAAATAACACTGCTGTAATGTGCTCTAAAGTACTCTAAAAACACAGTGCACACAGAGGGGGTGGATCTATCATCATACCCCCAGTGTCCCCTTTGCACCTGGATTCTTAAGCCCTTTTTCCCACATCTGAGAGGGTCTTCTTTCCCCTTAGCCTGGACAAGTACTGCAGGGAGCAGGAGGAGAGGGGAAAGAAAGAGATATCCCTGTTGCTCACAAGAAGGAAGAAAAGAGGAGAAAGCAAAACTATCAGGCTCTTTCTGCTCCCGCCTCAAGTAGAGGAGGAGAGAACTTTGCTTGCTTCCTCCAGCAGCCCTGAAGATCTGTACTTCATAGTGTTTTTAGAGGAAAAAAACAATAAAAGAAATTAATTGAAATTGTTACCTGAAACAGATTTATAAATTGACTTGAAATAATAGGTCACAGATGGCTGCAGCTCTAGTTACACAGCTGGGTTGCACCACATCAGATCTGGAGTATGCTTTTCAAAATTACATGCTTACAGATGATCTTTTTATGAATTTATGCCCACTATGCCAACCAACCCACTTCATTAGGTAACTAAGTTGCTAAATGGCAAAATTTACCTTACAAGCCCTTCACAGAAAAAGTCTATTTCTGTTACACACATTAATCATCTCTTCATATTCACTGACTTTTATGTTTCATGGGTGTCTGTATATTCCAACATATACAGGATCAGAATACACACCCCATGTTCTGTACAGCTTCATTATAATGCAAAACCTTCATTCAGAACTTGTGTAGGGTGTCTATATAACAGCAAGTGCATGAGGGGTGCGTCTAGACTGGCAAGATTTTGCTCAAAAGCGGTCTCTTTTGCTCAAAAACTTGCTAGCTCTCTACACTGTCCGCTTGAATTTGCGCAAGAGCACTGACTTTGTAATGTACAAAATCAGTGCTTCTTGCGCAAATACTTTCACGCTCCCACTCAGGGATAAGCCCTCTTGCGCAACAATACTTGCACAAGAGGGCCAGTGTAGACAGGGACCTTAATTTTTTGTGCAAGAAAGCCTGATGGCTAAAATGGCCATCAGAGCTTTCTTGCGCAAAAGCGCGTCTAGATTGGCATGGATGCTTTTGCGCAAAAGCATCCTTGCCAATCTAGACACTCTTTTGCGGAAATATTTTTAATGGAAAAACTTTTCCGTTAAAAGTATTTCCGCAAAATCATGCCAGTCTAGATGCAGCTGAGGTGTTATTTTGCTGAAGGGAAGTATGAAGTCCTTGTTCAGCACTGAGATACTGTGTCACAGATTGCTGGAGGGTGGGGGGCTGATGGACACCTGTAGAAATTTTTTTAATGTACATGGGAAATATTTTGGATGTAATTAGGTCAAGATTTTTTTTTATCTGCCCCATTGATTTAATCAGGCCAATGTAATTTCTGGGGCTCCCAGAAGAGAGAGTGATTGAGTGCTGAGTTATGTGAGGCAGTTGGCAAGTGATTTAGGTGCTTTGTAATTTTAGTTGCTCAAACATTTCATATTAATATTGTCATTTTAATATTGTCAGTAATGATTTGATGCAACTGTGAATTTTCTGTGGCCTTGAAAATAAGCTCCTCAGAATTATGCCATGAGAACTAAAACAGATCTCTCTCCATTTTCACAAGTATTGGAATACAAGTATTGGTATTTGGCAAGGAAAAAATGTGGCCTTTTCTGAAATAATGTATATGAACCTCACTATCAAGCACCCCTTTAGGGCAAGTGCCAACGTGGAATTTAAAGAATTTCCCTCAATACATTACATCTACCCTCTAGAGATAACAATTGTTATGTGAGGTAAAATTCATATGTGTTTTCCCTTTCCTCTACTGTGTCTGATATCTGTCAAGAGTTTTATGTAATGGAATAAGTTTGGAGTTCCTCTGCCAGACCATATGATAACTGAAACAACTCACTACTTAAAAATGCTGTTCACAAGTGAACAACAAATTATGGGTGGGCCAAGTTCTGCTCTCATTTTCACAACTGAAAGGCTATGTCTATACTGCAGTGCTATTTCGAGATATCAGAGGTATCCCAAAATAGCTATCCTGCTTGTTAACAGAAAACCCATTATTCTGAAATATGAGGAGTAAGGGACATTTTGGAGTAGCGGGTTATTTTGAAATTTGGTGCGGTATATAAATAAGTTATTTCAAAATTGACTTGAAATAAGCTACGCAATTTGCATAGCTCAAATTACGTAGCTTATTTTGAACTACGGGTGCAGTGCAGATGCACCAAAACTGTTGGGCTTCATAGAAATGTGAAAACATACAGAGATATTTTGACTTTGGTTGGTTTGAATAAAGAAGCAGTTAGACAATGATGATTTGCTCTTTCACTTTCCTGTCACATTGTATCAGAGCAAAGATGAAACGTGGGACCTACAGATGGAATAAAAAATACAAAATGTCAGGGGCTCAGGAAGTCTGGCTTTCTAATCAATAGAATGCCAAATTTCAAAATGGGTTTCAATTTGCACAGGCACACCCATTTAAGAATAACTATTTTCAATGACATGCCAATAAGGTATTTATGGCAATGCTTGCAATAGCCTAAATGACTAGATTATAACAAATGATTATACAGAGCCAAGATCTGCTTAACTACATTGTAGTAAATCTGGACAAAGAAATGAGAGGAAAATGGCAGATTGCATGGGAAACTGCCATAGACACACATTCTTAATCTGAAGACTAGGAGTTTCTCCATGGATTTATTAGAGTGACTCTGGATTTACAACAGTGTAACTGATATGACCCATAATTCATAGATTCCAAAGCCTTTTGATCATATAGTCTTACTTCCCAAATCACACAAGCTATAGCACTTCCTCCACAATAATGTCTATATGTTGTAGAAAAAAAATCTAATTTTCGTTTAAAAATTGTCAGCGATGGAGAATCTAACATACCCCTTAGTAAGTTGTTTTAATATTGAATAAACTCACCATTAAAAATGTGAGTTATTTCCCGTCTGAATTTGTCTAAGTTCAACTTTTCAACCACTGAATTTTGTTAATAGATTGAAGAGCTTATTTTTAAATATTTGTTCCTCCTACAGGTACTTACAAGTGTAAGGAGTCGTCTCCAATTATCTCTTTGTTAAGGTAAACATCTAGCACTCTATGAGTCTATCACTATAAGAAATGTTTTCTAAACCATAACAATTCTTGTTGCTTTTTTCAAAAGTGTCTTCAATTTATCAACATCCTTCTTGAATTGCTGACACAAAAACAGGACACAGTATTTCAATAGCAGTCACATTGGTCCCAAATACAGAGGTAAAATATTCTCTGTTCTCTACTCAAGAGCCATTGTTTATTCACCCAAGGACTGCTTTGGCCCCCTTGGCCATAGAATCATAGTAGACCACTGAAAAATCATGTAAAAGTACCATATGAATAATACAAACAAATGTTAGGTAATGTATGCAGGTCAGGCTTAATGTGGTATATTTAATGGTAGCCTGTTCTGATCTACATCAATAGTAAACCCATGTGTCCTTAAAAACCCAAACAGTTTACAGTTTCTGCATTTCACAAGTATTAATAAATTATTGTCATCCTTGCCTGAGCTGGATTTTGTTTTCTTTAGCTGAGTAATAAGCTGTTTTCTAGGAGATTGTCATTAATATCCTTTATAACAATCCAACAGTGGAGTCAAATATGCTGGATTTCTTTTAGAATAATTATGGGTTGTCAGGAGATAGACCAGTGTACAAGCTGATATCTTTTGGATCACTTGTGAGTAGATGGAGAACAATCCCTACCCTGTTAACCCAATCTTCTACTTTTATGCCCAAATAAGAAGTAGAGACAGCACAGAAAGCAGACCTAATTACTATAGAGCAGATTGTTTTTGTAGAAGCAACACTAGTGTGTATACTCCTAAAATGTTTGCAGCATATTCAATCTGTAATCATCTGTAGCAATATATGTTATACACTTCTCGTTGCAGCATAGCTTTCCCATTTTAGATTTCATCACTTTATGTTCTCCATTACAATTTCTGCCAAATTCTAAGGACTAAGGTGAGTATCTCTTAATACCAATTGTGTGATGTGTTGAGCACTTCATGGAAGGTGCTGAGCACTTTTACTTACCCCTAATTTAGGGTGCTCAGAACTGCATAGAACTGAGCCCTTGGATTAATGCCTACAGTCCAATGGACTGGGGTTATAAGCAACACCACTGAAATAATTTTACCAGGCTATCAGAAGAAAAGATGTGGAAAGAAGGAGCAGACTGACTAAATAAGAAGGCTAACATGAAAGAAGAAATGATGAGCTCTGTGCTTCAGAGTAAAGGAAAAATTAACTTTGTTTACTGAACTGCATGAAGCCTTCACCGCCAGTGTCTTTTTGCACAGTCTGAGCCATTCCTGGAGTAATCTCACTAACTCCCAGGGACTTCAACTTTTGACTTCATTGGGAGTTGCACATGCTTAGAAGAGAACTGATGTGGAGCCACAATGGGAGCCTTGAGAGTATACAAGAATGGAGATTCAATATGCAGAATCAGTGTCTTCTCCCTCCCAGAGAATTACTGTTTCCTTTTGTAAAATGGATGGTATTCTATGCTCTCCCGGAAAACAATGTATCAGCCATTCAATACTGCGGTGCCTTCATTTCAGTTGATCCATTAAGTAACTGACCTCTCCCCCCACTTATCTGTGACTTTTTAATACAAACTGTTTGACCATGTCACTGTATAGTAAGAGTAAGTCCCAGCTGAAGAACTGAGTTATGCAATTGACATGGAGAATGCAAGGCATGAATATGTAGGTAGGAGACTGGATCTGTTATCTGAAATTACAACCAACAAGGGCACTGATGCCCCGCCCCCCACTCTGCCGCCAAGACAGTGGTATCTGATGCAGAGAAATTAAGTTTCATTGAGGCCACAGAGCTGCAGCAGAGACTCCACAATAGCAACAGTATTAAGGAGGTCTCAGTTGGCCCCACACAGAGTTGTGATTAATAGTGGACTTATTGGCCCCTATTCCCCTCTGCAGCCATGGTACTGAACCTGCTCCTCTTGGGCCCAGCCCCTATGAGAGGGAGGTAAGGATTTGCTTCCAATAGGTGTCCATTAATAAAGGCTGAAAAAAAGAATAGAATGGAGCAATCATTAGTCATGATGTAGAAGAATGATTATGAGACTGAAACAAAGGACTTGTGAATTCTAATCCCTGTTCTGTCAGTGCCTTGCTGTGTAGCCTTGGCTAAGTCATTGATCCTCCCCAAGTCTCAGGTTCCTCATCTGAAAAGCAAGTTAATCCTGTTTCACTGAGTGAGGGTTAATCAGTCAACTTTTGTAAAGCCCGTTGAAAGTGCCCAGTACTATATAAATGCCACATATTTTATTTTAAGCTGGAAAGCAACTGAGATGCTGGTTTTGTTTCTAAGTTTTTATATAAAGGGAAACAGAACTGTTGACAAATTATTTTCTTCCATAAACAGCAATATGGACAGCACGGGATATAAGAAGTAGGTGAATATAGCAGATTTGAGGTAGCTAGTTTTAAACTGACACTTTAAGAACCTGAACTGGTTATATGAGACTCCTGAGAGAATATGCAGAAAGGATATTACTCTGTCAGTACTGGCTGACACTATTCTACATAGCAGGAAACTTAGATCGAGCTGTTCTGGGATGTAAAAAAGTAAATATATTCTGAGTGATAAAGAAAAAATGAGCCATAGTCTTAAATTTTATGCTAGTGTGTTAGTATCTAAGATATAATGAAAGATAATACATTTTTATATTAAATGGATTAAAATAAGATTTTGGAATTCTCTGTAGTCCTTTGACAATGAAAGCATCAGTTTCTTCCAGTGCTAGAAGTGTGGCCCCTAGCTTTATCAAATGCTGTGAATTCAGGAGGTCTTTTATTCTGGATATTTGCTTATGAGACATGTATTTAAATGAGATCCACTTCCAGATTACATGTCAATAAAATGGAAAGAAAAATAGGATCTTATGGAATTCTTATGCAAATCAAGCCCGGATTTAAATATCCTGTGCTTGATTTGCATCTTCCTGGCCGATCGCCATTTTTTGAAATTTACAGGTCCGGACTACCTGCCCGCGTTAAACCTGGAATGAGGTTTAACAGGTAGTTCGATTTAGGGCTTTATTTAGAACTACTGGGTCCCTGCAGCATGTAGACGCGGGCAGTTAGTATGGACTTATAAATTTCAAAAATGGCGACCGGCCGGGAAGATGCAAATCAAGCACAGGATATTTAAATCCCAGGCTTGATTTGCAACTTCTAATGCCTACATTAGCCTCCCTAGTTCGAACTAGGGGGCTAGTGTAGACATACCCAAAGAGTATAAAAAATATCAAAGGGAAAAACAAGTAAGCAGAACTGGTAACCTATAAGTACCTAAAGATTGGATAGTTAAAATGAGTAGATAAGAATAATATAAAATATTATATATATAAAATATTACTGCTACATAGTATGTTAAATATTCTAATCTAATAAAAAGTCAAAACTGAATTGAACTAATGTAATGCTTTGACATGATAGAAATTAGAGTCAGAATAAATCATTTCCTGTCAAAAATGTCATCAAAATTAGGTACAAAAATCTGCACTAGTAGCTAAGAGTCACTGTACTGGAGACTATCTGGGACCATGAGTCTTGAGGCTCATCCTCCAGATGGCAGCAATGTGCTTCACACAGTGAAGGCCTGCTCCGAAAGTATTAATTTCTGAATAAAATCACCTTTTCTCAAAATCTTACACAGAAATTGTCTTGTTTTTCCAAGAATATTTCAAAAGTGAAAATTGTCCATAACATTACATTTCCAGTAAACAATGACTAACTTTTTATAAAAAATAGCAACCATAAACCAGTCGGCCATCTCTACAGCTGATGTTTGTTAATGTAAAGGAGGAGGACTTAAGAGACTCAGGAAGGCCTGCCAGTTTGCTGGCCCCTTTCTAGGTGAGAAAAGATAGCTGTTCTTTTCACCTGAGAAAGAAAGCCTCTAGGTGAGTGCCCTTTTGCTTAAGCATCAACACAGCAGGGGAATAAACTCCTTCCCACAATTACCGAGGCTATTTACATCTGTCTTCGGTTATTATAATAGTTTGTATTCTGCTTTGGTCCCAGAAAGGATCAGACCTGCCCTGTGGTGGGTACAGACACATCAGAAAATATAGGGTACATCTAGACTACAGGCTTTTGTCAACAGAGTCTTTGTCGACAGATACTGTCGACAAAGCTTCCGTTGACAAAATGCATCTAGACTACATCCAGTTCTGTCAACAAAGCAAGCCACTTTGTCGAAATGAGAATGTAGACACAAAAGGACAGTGTAGATGCAATAACACCTTCTGTCGACAGAACTCTGTCGGCAAAAAGTATTATTCCTCGTAGAATGAGGTTTACCACCATCGACAAAACTGCTGAGCTTTGTTGACGTTTTGTCGACAGAACTCAGTGGTAGTGTAGACGCAGGTATAGTTTTGTCGACAAAAGTCCACTTTTGTCGACAAAACCCTGTAGTCTAGACACATCCATAGTGTTTACAGATGAAATAGCCATGGCAGACAAAACAATAGTACACTGGTTGTCAGGACCAAGCACAAACACTTGGGCTATACCTAGGTGTTGTGTGTGTGTGTGTGTGTGTGTGTGTGTGTGTGTGTGTGTGTGTGTGTATTGGGACAGGGAGGGGGTGTTTTTATTTTTTCTTAATGGCAACAGAAGACTTTGGTGGATTAGAATAGCCACAATAGAAAATAAATTGAGGAAAGGAGAATCTCTTATTTTATGTGGATACAAATGCTCAGTACTACGGAGACACAATTAGGATGTGACTGTATGTGTTGCTATTACGTTTTAAAAAAGAACATTAAGGTTGCAAAGTGAAGCACTGAAAGGTTAGGAAATGTCAGCATTAAGGTTGCCTGGGCAACTTTACTTGGCTTCTTAACTGTATGCATTATGATGTAATTTTTAATTGCATTATTACATACTATTTTTTCCATGGGACCTCTGCCTTATTTAGTGCACAGGAGCGACATTACAAAAGTGATATAATCTAAGGTTCTGTTTCCCACCCTCAACCTTAATTCTTGCTTTTCCTAATTTTTGAGTGCTTCATTTTGCAATCTTAGCAGTCTTTTAATACATTTTTGCTGATCATTTGTTACATTTTTAGAACCGCAAACTGAACAACAACAGTTAAATCATGGGAAAATATTGACTCCCACATGCTCTCTCAGCAGCACTGGGACCGTCAACAAAGATCTACCTAGCAACTTGAAACAGCAGAGTGACTGATAGGAGGTTGTTATCTTTTAGATGGACTAACCAATAGTGAAAGATGAACAGTGCTTAATTTATAAAAATTGCTGGGTCTCAAGCAATAATGATGGAGTTCTCCGGACAGAGTGATCTTATACACACCATGTGTGAGGTCATGACACACTTTGCATATCACTGACAAAAGAGATATCACAGCTGAGCCGCTGCAAGTCCTGGCACAAATTAAGCTCTAGAGGGGAGACATCTGCCAATAGGTTTTTCAGATATTTGATGACAGCACAAGAATGTTGAGACTTAAATGCCAGCGCAAGGTTTCAGAGGGGAGTAATTACAAGTTTTTCCACCTCTATATTCCCCAAATGTGAGCTCTCCTACCCATGTTTCATTGTCCCTGTCCCAGTCACTACATGAGCTGATGTAACTGTGTCAAGAAAACTAAATGTAAATCTCACAGGATAGTTAATGAATCTGCCTTATACCATTTTTTCTCCTTCAGTTAGGAAAGTACTCAATATTTAAGACTGGAACCTATATCTGTAGCTATTTACAATTCTCTTCTGCAAAAGAAGAAGAAAAGTCTCCAGCATGTTCTACTCCAGTACAAATCAGGTCTATTAAAAGATCCTAACCTGAAGATTCTGCTAAATAGCTCTGTTGGGTTTTATTCAGAAGAATGAGCAGGAGGAAAATGTGTATTTCAGACTATTCATAGTAAATGTTAAATGTAGTTTGGTTTTCATTCCTAACAGCCCAATTAAATAAAATCTCATTAAGTCTTCTGCTGCTATGGTTGTCACATATTTTATATGAGATCCTTATACCTCCCTGCACTTTGGTCTGCAGAGTGGCGGTAACAGCTGGTCTCTGCTACAGAGGGTGTCTGCAGTGTTTTAAACTGAGCATATGTTTCTACCACTATTGGCCTATATGAGTCCAACTCCTGTACAACTTGACTTGTCATTGAAGGTTTGTGTTAGGAGCACAAGAAGGGCATGCCTACACTTGGAAATTATTTTAAAATAATAGCTCCCAAAATAACTATTTCAAACTAGAGTGTCCACACTATGGGAAAGCCTCAAAATTAGTCTGAGGCAGGCTCCCTTAATTTGGACATGCTACCTTGACTTATAGCCCCTGGAAGCACTGGGGAGTAATTATTTTAAATGACTCTGGGGAGTAGTTATTTCAAAATAGCGGCAGAGGAACATCCATACAACTGCTATTTCAAAGTAACTATTTTGAAATAAGTGTTATTCATCATGGAAGGCAGGAGTTATTATTTTGAAATAATGGGTGTGGCAGTGTGGACACTCTGCTTGTTATTTCGAAATAAGGGGAGTTTTTTTCAAAATAACTCCCTAGTTTAGTCCAGGGAGAACTGTTGAAATGGTCTATGAATCCTCTCTTGGACATTCTCTAGCAGAATCAAACATTCTGGAGACTAAGGAATCAACCTTTCTCTCAGTATCTAAGAAATGTCCTGAGTAATAAGAAAGAAGTCTTCCTCCTTTCCATCTGTCAAGCCCAGTCTGTGCCAAATTAGTTATCAGCTATAGATAAGTCTCACCCTTCACCAGAAATACTGCTTGTTCCTAGCACTGCCAGTGTAAAAGGATAGTAAGTACTGATGACAGAATACACTTCTTCACTAGTGGGCTCCAGCTCATCCCCTGTGAACTCAGAAGGGCTCATCTACAGCAGAATAACTAAATGCAGAGCTTGACAACACAAGTAGAAGTTTTTCAACTCTCCATCTCTCCACAACTTGGAGCTCTCTCTCCTTCCACAAGAGGCTATACTAAAATGCTACTACATCTTTATAATTGATATTGAGATCAACAGATACTAATTTGTTGAAATAAAGGGTGAAAGCTTACCATTTTTTGAAGTTCCATTGTCTTTGGCAGTTATGGTTCTACAGCCCTGATCCTGGGAGAATGCTTGACCCCTTTTTATTCTTTAGAGTTCTAGTTAACTTAAACCCAACTACTTGTTTTTAAACATCAAAACTATTTCACTAGGAGGGTGGTGAAGCACTGGAATGGGTTACCTAGAGAAGGGGGTAGAATCTCCATCCCTAGAGGTTTTAAAGTCTCGGCTTGACAGAGTCCTGCCTGGGATGATTTAGTTTTGGGCAGGGGGTTGGACTTGATCACCTCCTGAGGTCTTTTCCAGCCTAGGATTGTATGATTATATTTGCATCCATGTTACATTAACTAAATAATTAAAGAGTGATTAAAGGTCTAGAGAACATGACCTATGAGGGAAGGCTGAAAGAATTGGGTTTGTTTAGTTTAGAAAAGAGAAGACTGAGGGGGGACATGATAGCCATTTTCAGGTATCTAAAAGGGTGTCATAAGGAGAAAGGAAAAAACTTGTTCATCTTGGCCTCTGAGGATAGAACAAGAAGCAATGGGCTTAAACTGCAGTAAGGGAGATTTAGGTTGGACATTAGGAAAAAATTCCTAACTGTCAGAGTAGTCAAACACTGGAATAAATTGCCCAGGGAGGTTGTGGAATCCCCATCTCTGGAGATATTTAAGATTTGGTTAGATAAAAGTCTATCAGGGATGGTCTAGACAGTATTTGGTCCTTCCATGGGGCAGGGGACTGGACTCAATGACCTCTCGAGGTCCCTTCCAGTCCTAATAGTCTATGATTCTATGGAATAGAATAAAAAATAAAAACCCACCAGCACTGAGAGTCTTCTGCCTTATTATGCATTCAAACAGGAACTGCAATTCTTGGGATGTAATCTAATGTTGATTTATCAGACATTCAAGATAATTTTGTGTAGGGCAAAAGGTGGTTTGTCCTTCTTGTGTGGAGTAGCTGTCGTTTTCATAGAAGGAGGTGGGTGTGGCTATAGAGATCAAAGTTTATCCTCCATATGGGAATATGGGATCTGAACAGCAGGTGGGCAGGACAGACGGTGCTGGCTAAGCTTACAGCAGGTTGATGTTGCTGTTTTATGTAATGTATTTCTGTTTAAATATATCCCTTTGTTCTAATGCAGAGACCACTACATCTACTTTGCTTCTCTACCAAGGAACTACCTGAAGCACTGGCCCCTAATGTGTAGATGTCCCAGGATCTTCAAAAAGACAGAAGCATCTTCACAGCAGCTTGGAGCCATAATGCCTTGAGGATCCTACAGCTATGAGCTGCAGGCTGAAAGCCACCTGCATTACATGTCAGCAACAGATTTTTTTTTAATCCATTGACGTATTGACAATGCTTCAGATTTTTATGTGGCAGTAGATAAAACTCCTAACTCTAGTATAGTGCATAGAGCAGTGTGTCCCATGAGACTTTCCTTGAATTGCCAGCTCTGTCATGCATATTCTGGGTAAGCCTGAGCAAGTTGTTTCCCTGCCTGTGGCTCAGTTTCCATATCTGAGGAAGGGGAAGGGGTGATGACATGGACTTGCTTTGGAAAGTGCTTTGCAATCTAAAGATGGAAAATGCTACATAAGAGGTAGCTGTGATTACACATAGATCTCTCTTACAGAGAGCGATAGTACCTTTCAGTGACTGCTTCCCCTCTAGGGCAATGATGGTGGTAGGTATCGAGGGAAGAATGCTGCTACTTCAACCTCCAGTAGCACCCAGATTTTGCTCTCCCTGAGGCTGTCTTCGCTGCGAGTTTTTCCTGCAGAAAATATGCTAATGAGGGAATCATTTGCATGAGTCATTATCTCATTTTCATATTTTCTGCCGATCTGTTTTTGAGCTAGGGGTTTTTGTGCAAAAACAAGCAGTGTGGATGTTTCCTTTTTGTGCAAAACCCCCTTTTTACGCAAAATCAGTATACATCCTTTTTTGAGGCATAAGGATCTTGTGCAAAAAGGAAACGTTTGTGCAAAAAGGATCTTGTTTTTGCACAAAAACCCCTAGGCTACGTCTACACTGGCCCCTTTTCCGGAAGGGGCATGTAAATTTCACCAGTCGTCGTAGGGAAATCCGCGGGGGATTTAAATATCCCCCGCGGCATTTAAATAAAAATGTCCGCCGCTTTTTTCCGGCTTTTAAAAAAGCCGGAAAAGAGCGTCTACACTGGCCCCGATCCTCCGGAAAAAGTGCCCTTTTCCGGAGGGTCTTATTCCTACTTCAAAGTCTGGGAGTGCAATTCCTACTTCAAAGTAGGAATAAGAGCCTCCGGAAAAGGGCGCTTTTTCCGGAGGATCGGGGCCAGTGTAGACGCTCTTTTCCGGCTTTTTTAAAAGCCGGAAAAAAGCGGCGGACATTTTTATTTAAATGCCGCGGGGGATATTTAAATCCCCCGCGGATTTCCCTACGACGACTGGTGAAATTTACATGCCCCTTCCGGAAAAGGGGCCAGTGTAGACGAGCCCCCAGTGCAAAAATGGATCAGCAGAAAATATGAAAATGAGATCGCAACTCATACAAATGAGTCCTTTATTAGCATATATTCTGCCGGAAAACCTCGCAGTGAAGATGTAGCCTAAAAGCACAGAGTCAGAGTCTAGTATTCCTCCCTGACCCCACCCTGCCACTCTCTCCATTTCCCCTCCAGTGCTAAGACCAAGCCATTGGGATCCGGGACATGGGAAATGAATGCTGCGGAAGCAATTACTCTTCCACTTGGGCTGGAGAGCTTTTCCGAAACCTTATGCAAAGTGGGAGAGAGATGGCAATTTCCTGAAAGATCCTAGGTGTAAGGAGACCATACTGTGTTGACTATGTACTACTGTGGACCAGGATTGTGCTCCAGGATTGTATGTATCTCTCCAGGAAACAGATGTGATGGAAGACCTGGATGATCAAAGGCCTCTATTGAACTCTTCCCACTAGTGGTGACAACTGGGAAGCCTGGATCCTAGAGCAGATTGGCCAGGAAAGTGCAGTTGTGACAGGTGAACCTCCTGTGTGGTCTTCTATATCACTGGACCAGTTATTTAGCTAGCAGTTATCAGTAGGAATGGAAAACCTGTCTTATGAAAGGAGATTTAAAGAGTTTGGCTTGTTTACCTTAACCAAAAGAAGGCTGAGGGGGGACATGATTGCACTCTTTAAATATATTAGAGGGATAAATACCAGGGAGGGAGAGGAATTATTTAAGCTTAATACCAATGTGGACACAAGAACAAATGGATATAAGCTGGCTAGTGGGAATTTTAGACTTGAGATTAGACGAAGGTTTCTAACCATTAGAGGAGTGAAGTTCTGGAACGGCCTTCCAAGGGAAGTAGTGGGGGCAAAAGATCTATCTGGTTTAAAGATTAAACTAGATAGGTTTATGAAGGGGATGGTTTGATGAGATAACATGATCTTGGTAACTAATTGACCATTCATTATCAGTGGGAAATGGGTCAATGGAGGGATGATAGGAGTTACTATAGAGAACTTTCTGGGTGTCTGGCTGGTGAGTCTTGCCCACATGCTCAGGGTTTAGCTGATCGCCATATTTGGGGTCGGGAAGGAATTTTCCTCCAGGGTAGATTGGCAGAGACCCTGGAGGGTTTTCGCCTTCCTCTGTAGCATGGGGAATAGATCACAGCTGGAAGATCTCTGCATCTTGGGGTCTTTGAAGTATTTGAAGGCTTCGATATCTGAGATATAGGTGAGAGGATTATCCTAGGAGGGGTGGGTGAGATTCTGTGGCCTGCACTGTGCAAGGGGTCAGATTAGATGATCATAATTGTCCCTTCTGATCTTAAAGTCTATGAGTCAATCTTATTGAGACCACTCCCACCCTTCAGTTGTGTCATTAACAAAACAGTGACTGATCTTTGTTAAGAGTATTTTGCAAATGTTTTTATAGCTACTCTGACTGAATAAATATTTAACTGAGGTACCACAACTAATCACAGTTATTTGCTGTTAACTGTAGTTTAATAAAAGACTTGACACTTGCAAAATGGGCAAAACTGGCAGGAGAGAAAGAACGCAAATTTAATTCTGCAGCCTGCGTGGTTACAAGATGCATTCTGGCTGTGTTGGAGCTTCATGGGATCTCATTTGGCCACAGAGGGAGGTGCTGTACTAGTGCTCAGGAAATTGCAGTTCCATTTCAAGGTCTATTTCTGTTGTGTGGTCTTTAAAAGCAAGAGCTAAGGCACAGAGACAGAGAGTAACAATACTATTTCACTGGTACTCTATTTAGATTTTACAACCTTCAGGACATGAACTATGTGTAGGGCCCTGCATGAATAGAAATGTCTTTCCGCAGATGTACACATTCACAGATAGACATTGGGATCCAGAGATCTGCAGGGCTCTACTCCCAAGAGTCACTGCAGTCAACAGAGAGGAGTATTACCCAGTCATGCTCAGGTGCCAGCACCTCATGCCGGCAGCTCCTCCTAGCAAGATGACTGCACTGCCATCAGCCCTGCCTCCAGCCATGGCGTCTCCTGGGAGGGGTTATATAGGTCCTCTAGCATCAGAGTTGGGGGCAGTGCAACTGTGCTGTGGGAGGAGCTCCCAGGGCTGGTTCCTGGGCATGATGGGGTAACACTCCTCTCTGTTGGCCACAGTGGTTCTTGGGAGTAGAGTCCTGTAGACCTGTGAATCCTAGGGTGTGTCTAGACTATAGCATTTTGTCCACAAAAGTGGACTTTTGTTGATAAAACAATACCTGAGTCTACACTACTGCCGCATTCTTTCAACAGTAAGTCGACAGAACGCAGCAGTTCTGTCGACAGCAGCAAACCTCATTCTACAAGGAATAATGCCTTTTGTCCACAGAGTTCTGTCGACAAAAGGCGCTATTGCATCCATAGTGTGCTTTTTCAAAGGAGAGCATCTACACTCTCTTTCAAAAAAGTGGCTTGCTTTTTCGACAGAACTGTCTGTAGTCTAGATGCTCTTTTTTGACAGAGGCTTTGTCGACAGTATGGGTGTGTCTAGATTACAGAGTTTTGTCGACAAAAGTGGACTTTTGTCGACAAAACTATACCTACATCTACACTACCGCTGAGTTCTGTCGACATAACGTCGACAGAACTCAGCAGTTTTGTCGACGCTGGTAAACCTCATTTTACGAGGCATAACGCCTTCTGTCAACAGAGTTCTGTCGACAGAAGGTGTTATTGCATGTAAACTGTCCTTGCGTCTACACTGCCATGTCGACAAAGCAGCTTGCTTTGTCGACAGAACTGAATGTAGTGTAGACGCTCTTTGTCGACCGAAGCTTTGTCGACGGTATCTGTTGACAAAGCCTCTGTTGAAAAAAGCCTGTAGTCCAGATGTACCGCAATGTCTACTTGTGGATATTTGCATTCACATGCTCTATGTATATGTACAATATCAAACACAAGGAATTCCTAATCTCAGCAGGGACCTCCTGGTGCTACTGTAATGCAAGCGGTAAGACCTCACAGCATCTATAATCAAAATGCAATATGGACTTCTTGGCTACAGCTACACTTGGCAGGTTTTTTTTTTAAAAGCAACTGACAAAGCATTAATATTATCAATTTAAATGTTCACAGTTATGGGAAATTTAAGTGACAACAAATCTTGAGACAAATTTACAACTTTATAAGCATTAAAACACAAACTATAAAAATGTTATCCTTAAATCAAACTCTAATAAGTTCATAAGCACCATTTTTTCCTATTTTGATATTAGTAAATTTTGATTACCAAAAACAAATATTTTTTCATTGCTTTTATCATATAAACAGAAACCATTTACCAATAAAAATCTAATCCTTGTACACCTAAATATAACAAATCAACGGTTCATATGGAAATCATGTGTGACTTCATATTTCACTGCTCCCAAAGACATATTGCCTTCTTTTACCTCCATGCAGCAGGGAAATCTAAATACTTTTTTGATCTAATTGTCACCTCATAAATTCAGCTTTATTTCAGTTATGCTTGCTTTATACTGATATAAGATCACAGGCTCCTTGGGTGAAATCATGGTTCCATAGAAGTCAGTAGGAGTTTTGCCATTTATTTCAGTGGAGTGGGATACAGCGGAGGGGGAGTGCATACCAGCTGGGGAGAATAGAGCTGTGTCTAGCCTGGCAAGTTTTTCCGCAAAAGCAAGTGCTTTTGTGGAAAAACTTGCCAGCTGTCTACACTGGACACTTGAATTTCCGCAAGAACACTGACGATCTCATGTAAGAAATCAGTGCTTCTTGCGGAAATACTATGCTGCTCTCGTTCGGGCAAAAGTCCTTTTGCGCAAAAGCTTGTGCGCAAAAGGGCCAGTATAGACAGCTTAGATTTATTTTGCGCAAAAAAGCCCCGATTGCGAAAATGGCTATCGGGGCTTTTTTGCGCAAAAGCGCCTCTAGATTGGCATGGACGCTTTTCCACAAAAAGTGCTTTAGCAGAAAAGCGTCCGTGCCAATCTAGACGCTATTTCCGCAAATGCTTTTCTGTTAAAAGCATTTGTGGAAAATGCCAGTCTACTAGACGTAGCTCAGTTGTTTCCCCTCCCTGACCCCACCCTGCCCCTAGCCAAGGTCTCCTATGCTCTTCATTTCCCTGACTCTCCCCAGCCCACTTTACCTGGAGGGCAAAGGGGTTGGAGGTGGTACAGAAGCTGGAGGTGAAGTCGGAAAAGAAACAGAACTTCCATGCTTGTCTCCTATTCCTCCATGGAGCTGTTGCACCCGTGTACAAGACTGGGGCAGCAGGCCTAGCTGTTCTGCTCCCTTTCCCATTGCTTCTTCCAGCAGGGAAAGGAGTAGAACTTCCCCTGCCCTGCCATAGAGTACCAGGTTTGGGAGTGGAGAGCTGGCAGTTCTGTCCCTTTTCCTTTGGGAGAGGCAGCAGGGAAATGAGCTGCCGTGGCACTCCCACTCCCAACTCCAGGATCCAGCTCTGTATACAGAGACATGGCAGCCAGTGGAGGGGCTGGGGATGGCTGGCTGGGTGTCTTACCAGCACACTGTACCAGGTAAAAAGAACTTACTGATACCAGCCCACTTACATCACTGTTAGAATGTCACCTCCTATAATTTAGTGCTGTATGTGTGAAACCCACACACCTAGTGTGAATCATTGTTCCATGCAGTGGCACCTAGACCACAGCAATAGAGAAGAATAAGAGACCTCTACAGCAAGGGCTGAGCACTAACTAGCTTTTAGCTTAAAGGGGAGAGCCTCCTATATTAAGCAACAAAGATCCCAGGTTCAAATCAGCTTGGGGGTGGTTACATATGCACTTGCTGTCTTGTTTGTGATATAGATACTGGACCATTTAAAAGCAACATATTCCCACTTGTAAAGATTAAATTTTTTTGGTAAGTGTCAGTAAAAAATTTCATCACCTACACTTCGCACTGATGACATTTTAAAATCAATAATAATCAGGTAAACTGATCACTTATATTTTCTCATGCAGCATTTTAATTTATTAATATTGAACTATGTTAACAGTTATAAAGATTTTACTTTTTTAATCTCAATATCTGTCATTAATTATCTGAATTTCCATAATTTCCGATAACTGAAATTTAAATCAATATCAAATTATTTAAAACATTATATGGCAAAATTATTTTAAGGTGTCCAATTCTTCCATCCCTACAAATAACTCTGCTTTTTCTTAATCAGAAAGATAATTAGTTTACATATTCCAAAAAGGTACAATGAGGGTACTGGAGTTGGAGCAAGAAGCCCTCTAGCTTGACAGTATTTAAAATTATGTCATAAGAACGGCCATAATGGGTCAGAACAAAGGTCCATCTAGCCCAGTAGCCTGTCTGCCAACAATGGCCAGCACCAGGTGCCCCGGAGGGAGTGGACTGAAGACAATGATCAAGCGATTTGTCTCCTGCTGTCCTTCTCCAGCCTCTGACAAACAGAGGCCAGGGACACCATTTCTATTCCCTGGCTAATAGCCTTTTATGGACCTAACCTCCATGAAATTATCTAGTTTCTCTTTAAACTCTGTTATAGTCCTAGCCTTCACAGCCTCCTTTGGCAAGGAGTTCCACAGGTTGACTACACGCTGTGTGAAGAAGAACTTTCTTTTATTAGTTTTAAACCTGC